ACCTACCTACCTACCTACCTACCTACCTACCTACCTACCTACCTACCCTCATCCATCCATCCATCCATCCATCCATCATCATCTAAAAGGTGCATAAATTGCTTAACAATACAAAAATGCCAGAGAGTCACCAGGTTTTAAAAGCCTGCCTGAATAAAAAGGTTTTTAAGATTAGATTTAAAAAGGCGCAGACCAGTGAGTCCTGATCCATCCTGAGGTAGTTGACTCCAGAGTCTGGGTACAACGACCCAAAAGGCCCGGTCACCCCAACGTTTGTATTTGGACTTTGGGACAAAGTAAAAATGTCTTGATCTTAAAGGGCTGTTGTTTAATACACCGTATTATACAATATTCCAAAAAAAGTGCAATCTGGTCCTCTGGACATTCAAAGAAAAAAAAAAAAAAAAAAAACAAAAGAAAAAAAAATAGAAAACGTTTCGTCTCCCATCCAAGAGACTTCCTCAGTCTGAGGTGCTGTTTTCAGCTCAGTCTCTTAAATAGCACCTTCTCAGAGTGGATCAACCAGTTTGCTGCTGACAACCAAAACCAGCTGCTCACATGATCAAGAAGGACCATCAGCCTAACAATGGATCATTAGCACTCTGATGGCTGTTTACTATTCACAGAGGGCTGAGTGATACTAGCAAACACAGCATTGTAAGAGGGGGGCAGTTGAACCCGGAGGCCTCCACCCCTGTTTAATGATGGACGGTTTCTTTTCACAAAGATGGCCTCCTTTACTCCTCTCTCAAACCATCGTTCCTCTCTGTCCAGGATGTGAACATCTTCATCCTTGAAAGAGTGACCGCTGGCCTGGAGATGAGTGTAGACCGCAGAATCCTGGCCTGATGATGTTGATCTTCTGTGCTGGGCCATCCTTTTGGCCAGTGGCTGTTTAGTTTCCCCGATGTAAGACTGATCACCCTCCTGACACTGAACAGCATACACAATATTACTCTGTTTGTGCCGGGGGACTGGATCTTTGGGATGAACCAGTCTTTGCCGTAATGTATTTTGGGGTTTAAAAGCCACTGGGACGTTATGTTTAGAAAATAAACGTCTCAGTTTCTCTGATACTCCCTCAACATATGGAATGACCACTGGTCTGGGTCTGGGTTCCTCCTTTTCACCTGATGGCTGACTGGAGTC